CAATGTTTAATTAACTAATTTTTAAATGTACATCAGCAATGTCACTATTGATACTCTTCTCTTTGATTTCTAATTTGCTGTTTTGGTGTTTTGAACGATGTTCATCAAAACTTAAGTTATACATGGATAATTTATACTGGATATTTATACAGTTATATAGCAAACATTTATATTTAAACTTATCTATGTTAGTAATAATATTTTCATGAGAACTCTATTTATAGAAGTATAACTAATTAACTAACTAGTATTCTGAATAATTTATGATATAATATTGTAAAAACGTTTATACTCCATTTATATTATAAATCATACTCTGTTGCATACTTGTGTATAAGTGTCTAGCCCCACTGTACAACAAAAACAACTGTTTCTTGATAGTCATAAATGAAAACTGGTCACTTCTTAGTACAGTACCTAATATGAGTGGAATATAAAATAACTATTTAATTGATTTAATTTTCAATTTTTGTGGTATCATTGGTATCTATTAAGTTAGTATAAATACTAAATTTCAAATCTTTGAAGTTGAGACAATATTATTTTGATAATTGATGGTTAAACTTCAAAAAAATTGACTTTCATATTAATATTCATTTTTATCTAAACTCAAATATATAGTATATTTCTGTGTATCACAATCCTTATCATGTAATTTCAAAGATATTTAATGTTGTTAAACATTCTCTTAAAGTCTCAAAGTAAAATCATTTAGTTTGAGTATATTTTCATATACATTAAAAGAACTAAAATGATATTTGTATAGTTATGACCTTTAACTGCAAATATGAATGATGAAATAAAAAAACAATCAAGAGAGCTGTAAGATAATAATATCTTGGGTACTGTAGACAATTATTAAGCAAGAAATAATCATCATGTAAATTATAACTTATCAATATTGTTAATTATAATTTCACTACATGATATATTTGTTTGGCAGCTATCATAAATTATAACAGTATTTATTTTATGAAATTTATTTGGTACATTGTTCTAATTATTGTTATTTAAGTTTGATGGTTGTTGATGTCATAACATTTTTCTATTTTTTAGTTATTCACAAGGGGTAAGAAAATGAAGTTTTGTGCAAGAAAAATGAATATTGTCTTACATTATTTTGTAGATTATGCCTTGTATTATTTAAAGGTATACTTTTACAAGTTAAATTTTCTGTTATTAAGTATCAATAATATTATTATTTTTTTTTTTTTTACTCTTATTTTTCAGCTTTTATTTCAACTGTTGTTTAGCTGTACAAGAAATTTAATAGGAATAGTCAAAATATTTTACAATCCATCATTATTATTATATATGTACAATTTTGTACCCAGCAATAAATTTAATTCTTGGACATTTCATTCTAATAAAACATTTGTTCCCTGAGCTTTAAGACTTTATTTTCCAGTATAAGTATTTTAAATATAAGTGCTGGTTTGGTCCCCAGTTCCATAACTACATATTTAGAGAGGGCGTGTACAAGAATAATTAATTTTTCAATTTTACACATATGATTATATAATATACTATAATATTGATTATTTTTTTTTTTTTTTAATAAAAAGTGGAAAAATAACCAAAATATTTTGAAAAGTAAAAAAGTAACTTTTTTTAGAATGAAGTAATCACACATATTTCAAAGTTCTTAAAATTTAAGAATATTAAATTCATTAAGTAAAACCCCTTAATTCCAAAAATTATAAAGTATAAAAATTTATTTTTTATTACATTTATATTTCAATTTCAATAATTCCACTAAATAAATAATAAGACTATATAATACATATTTTATACAGAGTGTTCTATTACTCATTACTCATGACAAAAGAAGTATTAATAAGATAAAGACTGATTTTTTACAATTCGTTTAGAGATTAAAGAAATATTAAAATGTATGAGATTAATAAAAATAAAATGGTATATCTCTTTAAAAATGATATTTTAACTTAAAATTGTTTGTCCTGATACTAATAATTAAAAATTAAATCTATTTAGTTTCTATTATGCTTTTTCTCTGACCACATTATAGTAAGAATATTAAATTTGATAATAACAAGAAGCTTTTGCTTAGTATTATTTGAATACTTCTACATTTTTTAGAAAAATTCAACTGTCAACTACTATCAGCAATAATTATTATGGATCCGCTGTGAAACTAATAACTTTGGTAATATTATTCTTTAAAAAGGATAAAAACCAAAATTATTATCAATTCTGGTGTACCTTTCATGAAGAGGTATATAATAATCATAATATTGGCTTTTAAACACTTTTAAAATTAAGCATTATTTTAATTTTAGATACTTGATATTTAATCAAGTCATATGTGAAGAACAGTTAAAAACATTGTTGAGGGTAGTTCAAATTGGGCCAGACAATTCTACATTCAGAGAATTAAATTGGTAAATAATTTTAAAAAATTTATAATTATTTCGTTTTATTGCTCACGTTGTATAATGTTGGTAATATAGACACTAGACTGGGTCATTGTACGTATTTAAAGATTAAAATTTAATGTTAGAATGGACACAAGAAATTTAAAAATTGTTATTTATTTATATTTATTGAAAAATTATAAGTGTTTAACGAATATGCCTTTCAATTGTATATCATGGCAAATGTTATTTCAGCCAAATCCATTTTAATATTCTAGTAATCGATTTATTATCCATTTCTAAGGTTAGAACATTATCTATTTACTTGTCAAATGTTATCATTATTTTAATGTAAATTAGTTATGAACTTTATTAATATTATGTATGATTGTTATTTGTTCTTAAATTAAATTCAACAGAAAAATTTGAGAACAAATTCAGATTATTTTTTACTTTAAAATTTTAAAATATGTCAATTATTTATTATTTTTAAGCTAACAACACAAAATGTATTTCGATTATGAATTTGGTCCTAAAAATTAGAGTAATAATAGGTTATACTTATGATCATGTTTTTACCTATAAAAATAGTTTTGTACTATCAAAATGCATCACTTTTTTCTTTTTTTTTATGTATAAATTCAATTAATTTTAGAGTAATGTTCATGATAAAAAAACATCAGTTTCTGTTTTGTATCATATACAAACATAATATAGGTATCAATTAATTTGTATGTGATATTTTGAAATATTAGTAATAAACTTGCCACTTTTATTATTGTATACATTACACAAGTATAGTAAATACTGAGTTTTTTAATGAGCCTTAAATGTCTGATTTATGAGAAATACTCTCTCAGCAAATGACAGGAATGGGAGGTGAGAGATAACAAAATCACTCTGAAGGCAAACTATAATGGTAGTTTTTTGTATACTATTAAACTCAGTAAAATAGTCAGTCTTCTCCTTTTATATTATTCTAGCAATAAAATATTGTGATCACCCAATTTACTTATGTAGAATAGTTAGTCCAATAGTGACTTATAAATCCAGACAGGCTATTTTATTTTATTTTAATTAGATTATATCATAATATGAAGGTTAGTTTGGTTTATGTTTCATAATCTGAATCAAGTTATAATAATTTAGATCTTAGTTTTACTTTTGAATGGTATTATTAATTAAATAATATAACACATTGAACTTTCTAGTCATGAAATACTGAATTAGGCAATCAAATACTTTTTATGCGCCATATATTTGTGATTCTCACAAAGTGTAGTTAAATATTAACCTCATAAATAAGTTTAATGTAGAGATATGTTCTGTGATAATAATATTGTTATAATACTAAGACTCACTACTAATCAATTGTTATCATCATATATTCCACGAGTATAAAGCGTATAAATAAATATTATTAGTCTAAACGTATTTTAATTTTTTATAAATCTTATAAGTCAATAATTGCAATTCATCGATATCATAAATAAATCTTATTGAATAATTGGATATGAATAGTGTACTTCTTTGAATCTCTAATTAATGATATATTTAATACATTCTATTTTATAATTTGAGATTTAAAATATACCAAGTTATTTCCATAGAGTATAGACCAAGTCCAAAATTATAATACATTTCAAAATTTGATTATAAAAATAGCATTTTAGTGTTATCATTTACCATCAATTTCAATGTGTTGAAAATCTGTTAGTACATTATTTATGATAATTTCTACACAAATAAAATAAATTAATATATTTTTCATAAATTACTCAAACATTAGATATGTGCAATTAAAATTAATAGGTTTATTTAATAGTATAAAAATTATTGAGAAACATTAATTTGTATTAATACCAAGTTATGTAATTTGGAAGAACCTTAACTAAAACCTTATTTGTTAATTGGGTTTTTACACTAAATTATCATGTTATAATAGTGAGATAATTTTTGTTTAGGCTTCTCTAAAAAAAAAAAAAAAAATACTAGAATGTTAAAAATTCTCTTAGTAATAATTCAATATAAAATATGCCCAGAGGTAATTTATATTTTTAAATTGTATTCAAAATAGACTGTTGTCAAATGATTATAACATTTAACTGACTATTCATTATATATTATCAACGACTAGAATTGGCTGATTTTTTTGTGTAAATGTAAAATAAATGTATTGCAATACAATACAAATACATGTGAATATGAATGTGTTTATGTAATAGATGTTTAGAAATTCCTTACCAGTTATAAGCCATTATTGCTGCCTACATTTAAAAATCTATTTACCCATATTTACCATTATGAATTAATAAAAATTATTTAATTAGGTTTTTTTTTTTTTAAATACTGAATAGACTGCAAACTATATTATATCATTCAAATTAAAGAATGAATAGATATATCTAATTAAATTTATGTATATATATATCATAAATATGTATATATTAAAACCTTAATGTTTATTCTGAGTATTTAAGAGAAAAAAATAATAATCTACCAGTATAAAACAGTTTTCTAGTAAAACTTAAATTACTGGCAATTAAAAAAATAAATTAAATTAACAACATGGTATAATTATTAACTTTTAACTTTTATTAGAATTTAAATAAGTTATTGCACCATTCAAAAAAAAAAAAAGAAAAGACATCATTTATTAGCAATGCTAACTTCAGCAAAAACATAAGGTTCAAGGTTGATATTAATGACTTGTTTGATCTTATCACTTTGGCATTTGAAATCGATCACTCTCTTATGAATTTGCATTTGGAATTTGTCCCATGTCTTAGATCCTTCACCACAAGATGTTTTTCTTGTAGTGATACGCATAACTTTTGTGGGCATACGCACTGGTCCTTTAACTGGTAATTTCTTATGCTTAATGTTGGTAATCATCGCGGTACACACTACAAAAAATTATTTTAATTAATAAGACAATATACTGACATTAATAAACAATAAAAATATACTTTACCAATTTCCAAATTTTTGAGGTTATTAGAAGTCAGTGTTATACGAATGTTATGCTTTTTTTGCTCAGTTGGAGTGTTTTCAACACCTTTTAATTCCGAATCCTAAAATGAATACAATTATATTTTATCAACTTTAAATTTTAAGCAAGCAATAGTAAGTAGATAAATAAACAATATACTTAGAAATGTATTATTTATTTAACAAAACATATTTTAATAATTATAATCTGTCAATATAAATATAAATGAGCAAGTATGTTAAAAATCTAGTAAAAATATTTAAATAAAAAAAAATCAATAATAACGATCAAGTTATTGTAATTAAATTAGTTGAATAAAAAAAAAATCTTTATTTAAAATTTTTGTAAGCATAGATTCTTATTTAAATTATCTAGGTATTTCAATAACCAAAATTATGAACAAAGAAATTTTTAGTAATTTATCCTGATAATATATGAATTAAGCTTATAATTTTAGAGAACATTTTTTAAATGTATTATATTTAATCACATGTTAAATAATTAAAAAATAATTTAAAATTTTAAGAAATAGGATCAAAAAATTCAGTTGAACAAATTTGTCTTAAGTTGACTAGGTACGTAAGAATAAATTAGGTAATTTAATCATATGAAAAGTATTAATGATTTATGCATCAAATAAAGCAAAAGAGATAGTTATCAATCTCACTGATCCATTTTATGAGTAAATAAACTGTTTAAATTGATCTGTAAATAGATAATGATGTGAAAACAATGAAATACTTTAAACATTAAATAAAATAATAATAACACTTACAATTATTGGAACTTAAAGAAATTAATTATTTTGAAAACAATGATATTTAAGTAATGCCAGAAGTAACCAAAACATTTAAAATAAAATATACATTACATAATCTTATATATAACTATATACATAACTATTATGCTTACATAAAATGTAAAAATGAGTGGATGCAACGATTGGAATAAAATACACAAATGTATACTTTTAGAGGTGGAAATTCATTAATAACAATATAGGAGACCTATTTGTACGTAGACAATTTGAAGACTAACATTATCAAAGATTAAACGATTTAGTTTTAAAAGTATTTGATAACAACCAAAAATTAAGAACTCCAGACAGCACACTAGGGAGGGTTTAAGGGGTGACTAATAGTATATTTTACAAGTTGTATACTAGCATAATAACATAGGTTTTATTTTAAACAATTAGTGCGTCATGATACGGTCACATCTGTATGGTGAAAGAAAACTAAAGCTGTTTGCAATTTTTGAAAAATGTAATGAAATAAATCAAGTACTATTCGTATGGCATTCATTGCCGAAAGACCAAATTTTACCAAGTTTAAGCGAAATAGTACAGTCACGCATCGCGTCCCGTTTAAGTTTTCCGAAACATGTCAAAAGTTTGAACCGAAAGCCGCAATCAATTAATAACTAGGCATACAATACTCACCATTTTTTAATGTCAAAAATATAGTAGGCTGATGACGAAAATAAAATAAATGGAATCGATTGTACGATTGAATATTACCAAACGTGGACAAACGATCACAACGCCGAGTAAAATAAAATTATTAGATTATTCAGGAGCAGTGGTAGGCGGACCACGACGTACTTCGGTAATACCACTATATGCCCTCTCCCAGTGCCGCCAACGTGTTCACTTCACCGTGGTATCCGTACACCCCATTATTTTATAGTTATGATTGTTATGAATATTTTGCTGTCATTGTAATAATGTTATATGAGCAATTTATGGTCTGTGATATCGAATTATCGCAGTCCAAGAGACAGGAGTCTTAGGAGGAGCGTTTAAACACAGAACTGAACCTTTCTGCACATGCGCCAGTACTTAAAATAAATTTAAATTTCTTATTTGTTATCTCTTCACCAATTTTAATTTAATCAAAGAATTATATAATACATAATATGTACTTTCAATTAAAATGTTCTTATTAAACTATGTGTCCCTTGTGTTTTATAAACTTCACAATATTATTTTATAAAAATTATAACATTCAACACGGAAATACTGAATTAAAAAATTAGGTATATAAATATTATTAAGAGATATAATGTTCTAAAAAAGTAAAAGGTAAAAAATTATGTAAATAATATATCCAAAATTAATAATATAATAATAACGTACCTATCAAATAAAAAAATATTAAAATTTGATATGAAAATAATGTACATAAAAATAGTTAATATTTATTTAGTATTCAGACTTATCAATTAAAATGTATAAATCTAATGTCACTAGAAAAGAAAAAAAATCGAGAGTATCTACACTACATACAGATGCATCGGTACATGTATATGTCTTGTTTCTACTGAATATAGTTGACATAAGAATGTCGATGTCAATTTGGTATTAGATACGAGGAGACGAGGATTAAACTGTAGGTAACTTTTTTAACCCGTGTAAAAAATAAACAAGTTTCAAAGACGGCAATTATTTATTGAGCATACATTTTTTAAAATTTTTATTTAAATTTTTAATTTTTTAAACTACAGAATCGTCATTTACAATACTTTTAGTGATGTATAATAAAGGAATAATTATTTTAATTTAAAGGGAAAAACATAAAACCAATAAATATTTTTAGCACAAAAAAGCAAAAAAAAAAAAAATATTGACACAGACAATTAATTTTCAATTTTGGTTTTAGAGGCCCCTTAGAGCTGGAAGCCCGTATGAATTGCACACCTTGCACACCTAATAGTTGTGGCACTGAGTGCATCACAACATATTACTTGAATTTTAATTTTTTTCTCATATTCTCAATAGTAATACCATTTACTGTTAAATCTAAAATTTCTGAAATCAAATTTTGTAAGAATTTATTGCTGTCTTTTGGTTTTTCATACCCATGGTATAATACCAATGGAAATATATATTTATAATGAGGTTTTATATAAGCTAATATTGACCAAAATTGACTGGAGCTAGATTTTGATAAAGGTAGTCCATCAATATCAATTGCAATTTTTATTTCATCATGTAAAGAGAAAATTGATGCACATTTTTTAATACCATTACCAATCCAAAATAATAATATTCAGCATTGTCCTACAATCTTTAGGCAAAAAATCAAGACCAGCTTCATTTTTTAGTATGTCTAAGAATGCATTTACAGCATTTTGAGGAATATTAAAATCTATTGTCCATTTCCAGGGCCGGACTGGGTAGGGTCCGTCCCATTATCCCAAATATAATAGCGGCTCTACTCATTGAGTATCTGACTATAGGCATAATTTATATTTAATAATTTATTAAAAATATTGATAATTTGACAATCTTTAACATCGGTAGAACTGGTAGGAGCAGAAGAATTTGTATCGATACTGTTTTCCAATTGAGTAGATATATTTTCCTAAATATACATGTTATTATATTATGATGATAAAAAATTAAAAATACATATTTATTTTGAATGTATGTGTTTTTAGCAAAAGAAACCTACTGCTTTTAATTAAACAATAGCTATGCATAGATAATTAGTAGGTATGTAATATGGGTATGTCTATTTTGCTTAGGCCAGAAGAACACAGGAACATAGAGTATGAGTACATACAAATCATTGATATAACTAATCAGTCGAGTTTTGTTCGTGAAATATAGACAATAACGGTCATCTCTATATTTTTGAGAAACATATTTAATTTGATTTATACTATAGGTAAATAACCTAACTTATAGAATATAGATAAATCATAATATATTCAATCGCTTTAACTCGTACTCTGCTACACCTGTGATCTTCAAAATACTACCCTCAAGAACAGGGTTACTCAGGTAATAGTGAACAGTATAATTATTATATTAATATTTAGTCATATGAATAAACCTTGTAAAACGATGCTATAATATCGTTTCTATTGTGTTAGTTTATGAACGCAGGTCATAAGTTTCTAGGACCTGTATAATATAACTTAAAAAACTTTATTTGTATCAATTCAACGACCCGATCCTTAAGACCGGTTCGTATAGTGGGAATAGCAAACCAACTATTCCTTAACTGGATAAAATTAGATATATATATTGACAGCCACTTGGTTTTAATAAACGGGTAAGTATGTTGCACTTGAAAATAATTTATTATTAACTAATAGGCTGAAGGGACTTGAACAACCTAACAATATTGGATGGACTCAACTCCGATAACTCAAAAGTATTTGCGAGACTCAATTCAATTTTATCCATTATTCTAACTATTGTAAATATTAATATATTCAACTATGCTTATATTATTATTATTTAGAATGATAAATATTATATGAGTCATAAGTATATATGCAATATGTTAACTAAACTGGTGTTTATTTCTATATTTACCTTGGTCAGCTTACTCATTTTTTTAAGACATTTCTAGTGGCAAGTTATTAAACATTTTTTACATCTTAAAACCGATTTAAAACAATTGATCTTGTCACAGTATAAACTAAACATCTTTTGAACCTTAAATGTAAAAGAAAAGTTGATTTCTTGAAATCATGTTCACATTTCATTTTTTTCGTTTTTAATTATATCTTGATAAATTAAAAATATTCAAATAACTATTTCTAAAATCTAAATACGTTAGAATAACTCGGGTTGTCCATAATGTTAAATAACCAATTTTATTATTATTATTTTTATTTCAGCCTGATAATATTTTATTTGTTAAAATAATTACTGGGTAACATTAAATATCCTCGTTTTGTTTTAAAGCGATGTTGACAGTGCTACAAATCGGTTTAATCATTTTATTACCTATTGTCCAAATGTTAGAAGTGCATGAATGTAATAAATTTATTACAAATTATAATACAAAATGTCATAGGTTTAATAAGGCACTAACTAGTTAACAAGTCATCATTAATATTTTATGATGTATGTACATGTAGCAATATCTTTTAAAAGATACAATATACAAACATTTGAAAAGTAAATATTTATAATAATTTAAAAGTATGGTTGGTAAAACTAAAAAGAACTAGTCACTAGGTATAACATTTTTACTATACTACCAATTGGCAATTATTCATTTTGAGTAGAACAATTCTTTTTTTTATTTTGTAACAACATTTTCTTGAAACTACATAGGTAAACCAGTGTCACAGTCCCAGATTTCAATAATATTATGATTTCACCATTGTACAAACGTACAATACATAAAATGAATAGTTTTAATAAAAATAAATGGATGTGTAATTAATAATACTTACTAAAATATTATTTAATGTGAATGGAAAACATAATTTTAGCTGTTTTAGGTTTTTTGCAGCAGCTTTTAAATCAGCATTCTGTTTCAGTCGAGCTTTTTCTGTGCCCCCTTTAACTCGACGATTCAGTTTAGCACTCATTTTTTAAACTTTTAAAGTGAAAATTTGCGTTATGAATTTAGAATTATAATTATGAACAATATGACGTATTTATACGAATATTGAACATTCAACTATTTAAGTTTAAACAGAAACACAAGGAAAACTAATTACTTTGATTATCATAATATATGACATATTTTGATAACGGATTTGGCTGGTAATAAACTAGTACCCACAATATTATAAAGAACCTTACAGTTAAATTAATTTAAAAATAATATTCTTTACTTATTTATAATAATCTTATAATATAAAATCGTACTATAATCGACACCATAGAACCTATGAACTATATAGGTACTAGATAGTATATCAGATAATATAAATGTATAATAATACAACGTTAATCTATTTTTAGCAAAACTATACGTTTATTTTTCCTACGAAATGATTTATCATTAAAGAAACTTGAGAATGAAACGATACTGACTTTTAAGTTATAACTAATAAATAATAAAAACTATTATACATAATATACTAATATATTCTATACACTAGTCACTACGTCAAATTACGCGGATGTGGCTATATCCCATATCATATTATGTCGCATTACTATATTTTAATATTTACTTATCTACCGATATAATCGTACTTACAACAATAAGTTACAAGGCATCGGCCCAAAACCCATCCAAAGACAGCGGCCCACTGTCCTCTAGGACAGTAGACCACTGGGCCAGTCCGCCCCTGTCCATTTCCCAATATAACTTGTTTAATATTTTTTTTTGTGGTTAAAATGTACATCTTCATAAATTTTATTTAATCTACTTATTGATGCTCTCTCGTCGTTATTAGTTATTATAACATTATGCTGAATGTAATGGTCCAAGTTATCAAATCCAACAGATAAATCTTCAATAGATATGCATTTGGAATTATTTTACATCGTATAGGAACAATCATGTTAATTTTGATCATTTGTTATAGTGTTATTATAATTTAAAACTAAATTTCATTATCAACATTGTTATCATTATCATCAGAACATGAGTCTAAAGCTAATAATTCATTTTTAATTCTTCTACGTTTGGTTCTTATATGATCGCGATGAGTTATACATTATTTGTTACTTATTTATAATTATGTAGATGCGTGACTACCCAACCTAATAATAAATAGATCGCGCTTATGACATATACATATAATAGCAATATCTATAAATATATACTTAATACTTATATATAATATTATATTATAAATCATATTATGAAGTAGTATATAATATATATTAAAATAAACCAACCTGTAACCAAATATATGGTGTGGAGATTCCTCGCTGCAGGTTGTTATGCGAAATTGTTATGGCACTTGCAAAATAAAGTGTGACCGGCGGTACGCTGGACGCAAAATGAATTCACTCGCAATAAAAATTAAAACGGCGTCTTGAATGATAAAAAAAAACCAATAGAACACAATATGTACATACATATTTGGAGTTTCTATCGAGGCAAGATAACATAAATAATAAAATATTAAAATGTTGTATTTTTGTAGAAAAAAAGGATTAACGCGCACACGCGCGCATAAGACAGTGTATAGAACTATAGAGTGTAGACGGCTGACGTCTGAACTCTGAATATCTGATGGACACAAGACGACGACTATTCTTAACTATCGCGGGACGTGAGCAATTAGCGCTGGTGGTTAATATTTCGATAATGCATCAATTGGATTTTCCCACTGTATCAAATAATATTTATACTGTTATTATATCCTACGTACTTCAGGTTTAAGATTATTATTATCATCTAGATTTTTCGTATTGGGCTCGTCCTGTTTCATAATAATAAATAACATTATTGGTATGTAATTATCGCCTATAACAATGCTTATATAGACAATAGACTGTATCTTATTATCTTAAGCGTGTGCAAACTTTATATAAATAAATAATAGGTCCTTTCATAAGAAAAAAAAATCACCGAATATATTTTGTACCGAAGATAGGAAATCTCAATGTAGGTAATATTTTGTTAAACTTAAAAGAAAAAAGAAATAATTTATTCTAAAAAAAATTATTCTGAGCCGTCAAACATTTTCTTTTAACATATACCTGATAATATATCAGTGGTGTATTGGTAAATATTTTTATGGGTATATATAAACACTAATAAAATATGTATAATCGACCTCAAAAATTTTTCTCATTGACCGTTATACTAAAAATAATTAACTTAATCTTTTATATTATGTTTATAACTAGGGTTGGAAATGTAATGCCCTATAAAGCTCTTAAAAATGCTTTAATAGGTACCTTAAAAATTCTAAGTAATGCACAAAAAAAATGTAGTAAAATTGTTTTTATTTTTAATAAATTTAGTATACATTTAAAATAATATTTGATTAAATTTTTAATTTTTCTATAGGCAAAACTTCAACTTGGATTTCTTTTAATCAAAAAAAAAAAAAAAACAATTATTTCCTTATTATATTAGTTATATATTTTTAAAATTATTTCGATAGATTATTTTTTAATATTTTAATTTATCCCGTAGGTAGCAAGAAAACTAAAAAAATAATATTTTTATTTGAATTGAAAATAAAAATAAAATTTAAAAGCTTCAATTACCTACTAAATTGTGTAATTAGTGAATATTGTTCATATTTTATGAGGAAAATTAATCCTTCAATGTCATTGTTATATAACATTGATATTGCTTTAAAAATATTACCTATACAAACATTATTTTGATAAAGAAAAATTAGTTTAATTAATAAAATCACAGGCTACTAGACTGAAGTTATTTCTATAGAATTAATACTGAGAATATTAAGTAATGGCTTAATTATTTTAATTACAGAAGTAAAGTATTATTGAGAGCCGTAAAAACCTTTCACGCAGTATCATTAACTCATTATGTAGGACATTTTTGGTTTTCCAAATATTTAGGACAAATTGTGCATCATCTATTGAACGTTAACAAATACTTAGGTACGTTATCTTCATATAAACGCAAAAAATGTTAATTTAATTTTCATATTGATTAATAAATGATTTCCTTCTGGATTAGTCAATATTATTAATTTTGTGTTGTGTACTTTTGAATTTAGCTTTTCTGTTTATTAAAGAAATGCGTTTAAATGCAACGTTTGCGCTAAGAACAATTTAGAACTGCACAAGTAGGTACCTGAACTTAGCTTGTATACACATTTTATTATTATCATTATTATGTATCAATCCACATCATAGAAAACATATTATAATCCACATTGGTTCATGGTTGTATCATGATACGACATTTGATTGTTATGAATTATAGCTGTAATACAAATTGTTTTGGTGTAGTATTATATAGTATAGGTATTAGTTATTTTTTTACAATGCTAAAATAAGTAGCAGTAGGTACTGCACATTAGCGCAAGCCCTGTTTAAATTATAATAAACTTTGAATAGTGAATGTGTTGATGGAAAGTGCAGAAAGGAAATTTTTAGAAGGGGTGCTTATTGCTTAAACACTAATATTTCTATTTTGTTTATGCTTTCCAACGGAATGATATTTGTGTATTATAATTCTATAGTACGATACAACTATAACATCAATCAGTATTAGTATCCACTATTTTAATTTACTAGTGATGACTTTAGAAAATTAGATTTTCCATTTCGTATGTCCTTTTATTTTTCAATACGAATGCCTTGCAATATATGAGTTTTATAATTAGGCGCCCAAAAAGTATTTAAATACAACCGAACACTCAATGTTTCTTATCACAAATCGCATGAAAAATAGCCACTTATCTTTGGCCGCCCGACTTAACATTAGTGTAAGATAAATATACAAAACGTGGTTATCAATGTTATCATACTGTTATTTTAAAATTTAAAATATTAACTATTAAGGCACCTCAACGAATTTACAACTTTATAATATAATTTAAATCATTCTTATTAATATAATTAACAATATGAAAGCGCCTCATGGATATTGTGACCTACGCGTTGAGCGAGTTAACGATGGTATTATCAACACTTTCATTGAATGTAAGTAACGTTTAAAATTGTATACCAAGTAGTAGTGTAATTAATAGTGCATATATCAGTGTTATTGGTGAATAGAAATATTCAGTCAAATTGTTGACTAAATTTGTTGAATTTATTGTGCATCTGATGTTAAATAAATAGAGCTTTAATTATTTTAGTATTGTGGTTGAATATTTCTTTACAAAAAATTTGTTCAATTTAACTTTTAAATGCCGATTTCTGTTAAGATATACTCATTCATATTTTATTATATTTTTCCATCACTTAAGGCATATACACATTATTGTAGTGACAGTACATTTTATCACTAATGCCACTGAATCAGTGTAAGTAAACCTTAAAGAGAAAATCCTTAGGGCATAATTAAGATTTAAATATTAAATACAGGGCTAGATTCAGTGACAGTTTTATTTGAACAGAGCAAGCTTAAAATTTATCAACCACCCACCTACCACAGCATGAATTTGATATTTTACCAAATAAAAAATCAGTTTGATTGACTTATTGTTTCATTTTCATGATAAATTTTTTGTCTGTTGGTTATCATAGCTTTATAACTTATAGCGCTAACAAAAAATAGATATATTGAAATTTCTATATTATAGATTATTTATTGATAATTATAATTATTATGTACTATATTGATGATAATTAACAAAAATATATTATTTTATACATTATCATACATCATACCTATTCGTGTAGCATTTTGGAATGTATTTTGTGAATATGTTTTCCAATCAGTTATTCTATGATTCAAGGCACAGTGAACATATGGTTCACTGCACTGTTTTTTTGGAAAAATGAATACCAAATTTTTTCATAGGTAGCAACATAATTTTTGAGTTCATATATTGGTTCAAAAACATTGTTATTATCTATTACAAAGAAATATCCTAAATAATTGTGCATTTATAATTCAGTCATCAATTAAATTACTGTTTTATTGTTAACTTTATAACCATTTAATTTCCTTATTCAGTTGGTTAAATTACAGCCTTATAAACCATTTCATAACCATACACTTTTAATATATAGATTATTTAAAAAAACATTGTTGCATTTATGTATGTTACAGTCAATGATAAAAATTGAACACTTACGTAATTTATGTTAGTAGCCAATTTATTAAGTTATTTTTGTAAACTACTCGATAATAATGTTTTATAATAATGATTGTTTATTGTTGTAAGTAAAAAAAATAAAGTAAAATAATTTTGCCTCAATAATCAAATATTAAAATTATTAACCATTGACTGTTGGTCAATTACGTAAGTGACAGAAAATACATATTAATTTCATTAATTACTGTTATAATTATTTGTCTTGTTATTAAATAATAATTTATTGTTTATTTTTGCAAGGCATGCTGTTATGACATTTTGAGTTTTACAACATTCCTACTGATCAACAAATATATTTGTTTGTTCTGCACTTTAGTTTGTAACTGCATCTTTTGTAATCTTGTGATCCAGTGACTCTATTAGAATCTGTAGCTTTTCTTACCGTAGTTTCTTTTTCATTATTCACAGATTTCAAGTCGATGAAAAATTGTTTGCAGGGATCGATCTGCATCAAGCAAACAAATTTTTAAGATCGCTGTTCTCTGTACCTAATTAAAGTCAACCATTTATAAATTCAAATAAACAAATTTAAAAATTTAATTATAATTTATAAGTATTTAATTTTTACAAATCATCTTCAACTTTGATAATAACTTCTCATAAGTTTTGTGGTGACCCAAATGCTCGATCAACATCAGATATTGATATCTTAAAAGCATTCACTTATATTATTTTTATAAAATTTAAAATATAATATTATTTTACATGTATCTAATGTATTTTCTTGTTTCACAGTTGGTAAAATTTACTTCTTCAATATTTTGATATGAATTATGTAATTCAGTTATTTCTTTCATTTTATTAAACAATTCTTCTATATCTTCTCCTATTTTTAAAGAATTTATTTCATCATGTAGTTAACCAATCGCTAATAATTCAGTTCTGGCAGTACAGCCAAATATAGCTTCACAAGGAGACCTTCAAATACTATTGAAATAAAGGTAACTAAAATAAATAAAAAAATGTATATATATTTTTTTTTATTTGTAGTTCTCTTTTATTTTTATATGTTACGAAACAAGTGTTTAAAATAAAAAAAATTATATTTTTAACTTATGCATATGAGCACAATATTCAAAATAACTGTTTTAAGAACTTTTAAATATTTTTTTCTAAACCATTTTATTATTGTTAGTATGTTTGATCATTCTTAACAAAATGTTGATTGTCGGATACACTAATAATAAATCAAACAATTAGCTGTTTTGTTAAAATTTGTAACAAATCCTCTAAAATAAACCATAATGATTCTAGAATGGCATTTTACATTTTTTTATTTAACCATTAAATTTTTAATATAGTCTGCATAGACTCAGCCCCATTCAGTGTTAAATATATTGATAATGAATCATTTAGTTATTTTTACAAATCTATGATTAAAATATGACGTATCAAAAAATGTAACTTAAGGATGAATGATTTAAGTATTTAAATATTTTAAATTAAATAAACATTTAAATGATAATTGATTTTTTTTTTTTAATATTGATATGGTTATTGCTTATTTAATTAAATTATTCAATTCTATGTTATGTTATATCACATACTGATTCATTGATTTAAAATACTTTAATTAATAGCTAAAAAATAATAGTGTTTATAATCAATGACTAGGTATGTATGCTTCTATATCTCCACTCTTTACATTACAGACTTACTAAGATTAGTATTAGAAATAATAAATATATCATTGTATATTTTAAAATAAAATATTAAATTTGTAATATTGCTGTATAAATCTACTATTTGATAATTTATAATTATGTAATTCATATTTTGTATTAATACAATGTATTATTGTTTGCCATTTAAAGTTTATATATTTTATTTTTATAATTTGATCTTACCATATATATTTATTTTTATATTTCATAAAATTTTATAATCAATGTTTAATAATTTAGTCATAACTTACATGATACATTTCTTTTATGAACCCTTCATACAAACAAATATTTAATAGTATCATTATTTTCTTGAATAAATAGTCATAAATTATTTACTAACTTGCATTTTTAAATGAATTTAGTTACTGTAACTTGTAATCACTTATAAATATCCAAAGTATCTTATATCTTGTAACTAAATAATCATTTTGAATGTAACTTGTTTATCACTGATGATATCAGATTCTAATCTAAAATAATAAATAGATTGGTATCATCCAATTTAACATTTAAAATATTTTATTCAAATGTCTTGCCTGTGCATTTTTATTTTCTATTATGAGAAATTTTTTTTATGTATGTAATTGTTTATAGATGGTTACACTTTGATCGCAGTAAATACTACAGTAAATTGTTCACTACTAGGTGTTGGGAATTCTAATAGAAAAAAAAAGAAAATTGCAGAATGTAATGATGAAAATAATGAAGAAAACGACTGGGTACCAACTCCCAAGTTAAGAAATGTAAGCATTTAAAATTTAGTATAATATATTTAATATATAGTATGAAAGTCTAAAATATGTAATGTCTCTTACTCATAGTTTGAAAATAATATTATCAATTATACTATTCTTCATAATAATATGGACATGAAACATATATATATATATATATTATGAGTAAATATTAATTTTATTTTTGTATCATAATACTACGAGTATAACAGCTCATAAAAAGATAAAATCTAATTATATTTTTTTTTTAGCATGATGATTCCAAATTGACCATAATAAATCGATTGACAGTACAAATAACAAATATTGGACAACTACATAGAATTGTAAGGAATATTATATATGTTTTGGAAAAAATAGAAAGTTGGACAATGCACACAATCTTAATTTAATGGTCTCCCTAGGAAAAATTCTACATTGTGCATTATGATCAAATAAAAATTGACAAAGTATACAAAAAGAGAGTTAAAATTAAAAATTAGTTAAACAAAATTGTATTAAAAAGAGAAGTATTTAAAATCAAACAAAACTATTTAATAATACTCCTATTAACTCACCTAATATTATGAATCACTATATATTATCAGGCATGGATTCAGGTAGTGGATATTTAGAGTAAAATTATACATTACACAGTACATACATTACTCATATTGTTATGACAATTAAAATAATATAAATCTAATACTTATAACAATATTCTCTCTTTGCATTAATTTCTATCTAGAAGCACAAATTTAAAGTTCTAATTGATAAATTGTAAACATTTATAATTTTCCAAAAAAATATAAAAATATTTATAGTTGCTTATATTTAAAATCTCATCACTTAGTTATTAAGGTATAATAAACTATAACTATATTCAGTAAATTATGATTTAGTATAATGATTTTAAGTTAAGCTTGTATAGGTTTTGTCTCTAAAAATTAAAAGAAAACTGGAATGACACCCGTAGAATAGTACTCAGTTACTGTATTTATATCTTTATTAATGTGAGCATTTCTAAATAAAATTTTGAATAAATATTAAAGATCTAAATGCATAACATCTGAACTATTGTAATGGTATCAACAATTTATTATTGTTGATATTTTGTCAAAAATTAAAAATTATCTTCAGAGGGAGAGAATAACTTATGCCATAAAAAAATGTTTTTAAAAAAGAGACCTCAATATTTCTTGAACTGTACTCCCCTTTTTTAAAAATCCTGGATTTATGCTATATTATAATATATCTTTTAAAATGAGTAATGAATTTAAAATATTAAATTGGACATATATAAAATAATAAATTAGATATAGTATTTTTTTCTGTTATTGTTTATTGTACATCATTATTAAATTAAAAATTTTATTGAACTTTTAATACTATAGTTTTTACAAAGTTTTACATATGATATAATAGTTATATCTTTGCTGTCTTATTAAAAAATTTCAACATTGTTCTTCTTAAATTAATTTGCGTAGTTAGATATTATTAAAAGCAGTAGTCATAAAATATTTATTAATAAATATATTAAAATAAATTGTTATCATATTATATAATTTTCATTTTACATTAAGCATTGCTTAATAAGCACTAAGGTCAAACTAAAAAAAAAAAAAAACTGTATACTGTTAAAAAACTTAATATAATACTGTCTAACGAGTATGTTTAATCATTTTTTTTTTAATAATTAATCAATTCAATTCACATTGTCCACAGAATTCTGAGTAAAGTATATTTTGTTTGAAAATTATAGAAAATATTGGAGTCTTAAAATTATGATTTTTGCATTGTCCAAATTTTTCAAATATAGTTTACTATGTCCATACATCCTTCTTTGCTAATAACATGTACAATAATTAAGCTGTTTAAAAAAATTGATCCCTTTTATTTTTTTTTAGTTCAATTCTCAAAATTTCAAATCATATATTATTCTTGCAGTAGAACCATTGAACGATCAAGTTCTTCAGGTATGAACTATTATTATTATTTTTTTACTTTTTGTACTTTTCTCTGTCATCCTACCATTAATATATTATGTGAGAATCTAACTTAAATCTGCCTATATTATTGTTCTTTTTCTTTTTTTTTTTTGCATAATAAAATGAGTGATGTTTATGAATATTTCTAAAACACTGGATATAAATTCATCAAATATGGTAAACCAGCCTTACAGTTTTTTTTTTTGTATTTTTTTTTTTTATTGTCTACCATAATACTAATGGTGTTTTTGTTAATCAATAAGTTTAGATTTAATCTGTGATCTATTATTGTGAAACCCATGGTTTGTCTTGTAAAATTTTGTGGGATGTTTCTATTTCTTGGGGTAGTGCTAGATATTGTTGAAAATTTTTCATAGTATTATAGATGTAGATTTCTACTGTCATTAAATGTTCAATACTTTTGTGCGTCCATGTTCATTATAGTCATGTGTAATAAAACCATAAGCCATGTGAAGTTGCAAGAGGATAAGTAAAAGTATGAAGTTCATTATGATTATGTTGAAGGTTGAGTATAATATTTTTGTCTTATAACTTTTAAATATATATATGTATATATAGTAAAATACAATGTTTGCTTAAACAAACATTATATAATATGAGTAGTTTTAAAAATTAATACTAATAAGTAGTTCTTAATATATAATATAATGTATATTATTTGTTAAAATTGTTGTTAATTGTTATTAAATTTATACTAATGATTTTTTTTTTTTTACCTTTTTATACTTTTATTTGCCATGTTATTTTTTTTTTTTTATTATTGCTAATTTTAATGAATATATGACGTTTATTTTTTTTACTTAAAAGCATTTTTTATGATATATCAATCACTATTAATGTGTTTTACACATTATGTTTTATTCTAAAAATGTTTGCATATACTTATTTGTATAAAATAATATCTTATAAATTATTTTTATTATGTATTATTTTTTACTTTTTTTATTTACAAAAATGTATTCAATTTGTGCATATTTACGCTATTTTATCTCAATTAATTTTTTTATCTATATCGTATGTGTTTCTTTATACATTTTTACTATTTTATTTATTTATTTATTTTTATAAATTTGATTGTTTAAGCTATTAAGCCTTGAGTATCTTATGTGTTTCTTTACACATTTTTTTTTATTTTTTATTTTAATATTTATCAATTTTACTCTAATTATTTGTATGATTTTTCATTTATACGTTTTTAACACATTATTTTTTTACTATTATTTTATACCTATGTATATTTTTCATTATTTATTTATATTCTTATATTAAAAACATTCAAACATTTTTGTATACAATTAATTGTATTATTTTATTTATTGAGGCTTAATTTAGTTATACATATCCATTATTGAAAGGTTACATTTAATTAGTATTTCAATTATATAATTATTTATAAGAGATAATTACATTCTCTTGATTGCTATTATTTTGTGACATTTGCAAAAATTATATTTGTTTTATCAATTATTTAATTATAAGTTTTTATTTATTAATTTAGCTTATAAATTTTAAAATTGTATAACAGAATTTAAAAATCTTGGATATTAACTTGATTTATTTATTTGTTATTTTATTGTAAATTTATTCAAAAGATTTTTTTAAATATCTGGGGATTTATAAATAAAATAACAGCCGCTAGGTGGTTGCCACTTTGTAATAATTTAAAAAGACATATAAAATATATCGAAGTTCAATTATAGGCCTTTAAATTAATTACAAATCATTATATCACCTTCCTTCTTCTGACAGTAACTTTTCTTTTGATGATGTAGTTAATGTTCTGCATATGTGCATATGTAGTAAGGTGACCAGTATATATTAATTAATTTCAGGACTTTCTTTACTCAAGTACACTTATTAACTTGATTATAATTTTTGTTGAATTATTCAACATATTTAATTTTAACTATAAATAATTTTAACACTTATGTTTTCTTATATCCGATCTGCGTAGTCTTTTACACTAACTTGTGATCGTTTATACAAAAAGATGGTAAGAACATTGTTGTTTGACCGGCCTTTTTATAATTGATGTCTTATCCTGCAAGTGTGTGTGTGTGTGTGTGTGTGTGTGTGTGTGTGTGTGTGTGTGTG